CGACTTCGAATACTTCTTCGACGGAGGAGGCATGTGAATACTCGTACGATAAATCGCGCGGCTCGACTATTTCAGACATTTCATTCAAAGTAAATGGTACAGTTTTTGATCGATTCAACATTGATTTCACAGGTGTGGAAGCCCGCATAGAATTGTCGTGCGAAGCGCTCGGTCGTTTTCGCTTTGGTTTTGGTTCCTCATCCTCTCCCGAAAAGAACGTTTCGTTCTTGATAGGATCCTTGGAGGATTCAGCAGTGTTTTTGACAATCTGTTTCAGCGGTTCGATAATAGGTTTAAAGTGTCTCTCCAACGCGATGTCCTCCTCCATTTTACCGGTTTTCAGAGCACGGTACTTTTTACGAATCGAATCGCTCGTTTTCGCAAATTTAGCTATCCTCTCGCGATCTATGGTGCTGTCCATGTTGCCTAGTCAGCGTATCGATAACAACTGATTATGTATGTCACGGTACCGCAAAGTCATTAAAACCTTTTCTATATCGTCCATTGTTAAGCGCACTATCCTTATCAATAGAAATCCATACTTTTGCTGCCAACATTTACGATACAAATCGCTGAAATCTTCGTAGGACATGTCATGTATTTACGTGATCGTTGTACACTCGTTTCAGATTAGTACCATCCTGTTTAAACAGTATCAACAGATTCGCATTGTTACATATAAGATGCTTCGGTATCTCTGCATACGTTTGACAGAGATAGAAGCAGTCAACGTGCGCGTGTCGGCCCATTGCAAAATACTCTCTTATCGCATTTTGCTTATCGCATGCCACGTCATCAAAGATAAAGATGGAATTCGGAAGCGCCTCGTTCGTTGGAATGACATCGTTATTATTAGAGAATGTAAAATAGCCAATTTCTTCGATCGGCGTTAACAAATTCGTTAGATATTGATATTTCGGCTGTTGAAGCGATTTCGAGTACACTTACACGTTCTCGAATCGTACGCCATGTGGACTTTCCAACAGGCTTATCAGCATGTTCGTCTTGCCACAGTTTGACGGTCCGCAAACAATAGCGCATATAGAGATTGGCAGCATGCTACCATGCTTGCGCATCTCTTTATCGGTTCGCACTTTTCCATCGAGATTCGTCACTTTGATCGTCCGCGACTGAGGCACGAACCGCATATTTTCTCCTTCCACAAAATACTGAAAACGATATCGTGAGCGGGCCTATTTATAGGGATGCGTAGAGGGAAATCGCTCAATAATCAAAATGTTTCTCATCATATCGGACGATCTACACAGTTTAACATCAAAAGAGTTGGAATATATACCGAAAATTATACTGCTGCGAGAGTTTGAAAATTTTATAGATGTGTTGTGGGATAGACTGCCTAAGCATATACGAGCCAATTTGGAGATACAACGATACCGTCGGTGCTTGAAGCACTACAATTTGTCGAGTCATCAAACGCATATTGACGGACCGGCGCCTCTGATAAAGAATTGCGGCGAATGTCATCGAGAGGCTTGTTAAATCGCACGATAAACGCACTTCCTTTCGAACTGCATATTCCCGGATACCAGTTTTGCGGTCCGAGAACGCGTTTAGAGAAACAATTGGCGAGAGGAGATCGAGGTATCAATCCGTTGGACGCGGCGTGTCGCGAGCACGATATAGCGTATTCGCATAGCAGCGAACTCGCTAAACGACACACATCTGACAATTTACTCGCGGAGAAGGCGCGGAAACGCATTGTCGCAAGGGACTCGACTCTTGGAGAGAGAGCCGCAGCCGTTTGAGCGGCTATGTAGCCTAAGACAAAATTAGGTATGGGTCTGAAAACTAGGAAGAGAAAGAGCAAGCGGATACTTTCGATAGTAAAACGCGGTGGCGTTCTACCTATTCATCCGCGGCGTTGTTGGTCGGCGGAGCGGCGGGAGTCGCCAAGGCCGTAAACGATAGCAAAGCGGCGCAGCATCAGCTGCAAGAACTGCAACGTCATAATCGCGTCATGGAAGGTCGCGGCGTTTATCTCGCTCCCTACAAGCGCGAACGAGGTGTCGCGCGTAGAAAAAAAACCGCCGAGGAGACATTAAAACTATTAAAGGTTGTAACTACCAACGTACAACTGCAGCAACTTGCAAACCGTATGTGCATTTCATATTTTAGAAGTATCTTTAATAATGCGTACTACATTACCGGTGGAAGGAGTACATCGAAACGAGAGCGGTATCGTAAATTTGGAATGTCGAGGGACCTGGTACGTATTGGGTGGCATATGCGAAAAGGGGAAATCATGCTATATATTTCGACAGTTTCGGCAATCTTCGACCGCCGAAGGAACTCGATATCTGGTAAACAGTGTAATAGAGTACAATCGCACGCATTATCAACGCTACAATCAGAGTAATTGTGGACAGCTGTGTCTACAGTTTCTACGAACGGTTGACAAGCAATTTAAGGACCAACATTGCACCGTTTAACTCAGTATTTGTTTAAACATGTCGTTGACATTTACGCTGACCGGCAAAAGTAGCGTCCTTGCTGAGAGCTACTTTCCAGATGTGGGTTTGAACGATGCCGATTACGAGCTCGGTCTGACGGATTTTGAAATATACCATACTCTAGCGAATGTAAATTCGACAAACAATAAGTTTTACTTTGACGATGACGAAATTGTCATTCCCGAAGGATCGTACGAACTGCGTGATATAGAGCGGTATCTGAAACGCGAAATTTTACGTTCTCACGACGCGAAGCGCAAAGTGGATGAAGACGGCGAGTTCCCGCTGGTGATTCGCGTCAACAACAATACAATGAGAAGTGAGATTAATCCTATCAGATAGATTTTACAAAACCTCGCAACATTGGATCGCTATTGGGATTTTCGTCGAATTGCGTGCTTGAGCAGCGGCAGTGGCACGAGTCGGACGTGCCTATAAACATCATCAACGCAAACATTATTCGTATCGTGTGTAACGTGACTGCGGGTGCGTACAGCAACGACAGGTGCGTGCATACGATACATGAGTTTTCACCGAGCGTGCCGCCAGGATATAAGATATCGGAAAGGCCGACGCAGATCATTTACCTTCTGATCGTCATACGGAGCATTACAGATCTGACGATTCGCGTGGTGGATCAAGACGGCCGAGTGCTCGATTTTCGTGGAGAGGAGATTACCGTTAGATTGCATGTACGACGGCGCTAACGTGGGATGCTTGTTGAACGAACAGTTAAAACGGACGAGAGATACGCCTATTACCGGAGAAACGTCATCTAGAAAGAAACTCACTGCTTCCAGCATAGCATTTTTAAAGTCGTTGCGATTCATCGTACGAAATGACTGCTATTTTAAACATTGCCGGCGAGCCGATCTTTGACGACCGCATCGTACAATCCGTATGCCAACACAACGTTTGCACACAGCGATGAGATACGGATACCCATAGAGCAGCAGGATTTATATGTTGCCGTGCGATAGTTTTCTCTACGTCGAAGGAAGATTGACGCTGAAGAAGAAAGATGATGATGCGCCAACAACGCTTGGAAATAATTGCGTGGCGTTCATGTTTGATGAAATGCGATACGAACTGAACGGCGTGGAGATTGACCGCAACATAAACGTCGGAGTTACTAGTACCCTCAATAACTATGTGTCGCTGACGTATGACAAATCTTTGATTGCGCTGAACGCGTGTCTGTGAAGTTAGCACGGCGTTTTATTAAATTTCAAAAAACAATGGTTGTTCCAGTAGCACTTTTCATTGTTTTACTGTTCTTGTAAATATCAATAAATGTTCCGCATTTTTAATAACAAAGAATTGAAAATAAAGAAATGCCGTGCTAACTTCACGTTCCAGCAGGCACATCTTCCTCTAAAGTACCAGAAGGCATTGAATATTGCAACATTTGTTAAGTGTTCCGGTTAATTTTAAACAAAATACGTTATTATATAAAGTTTCAGGTCAAAATTCCAACAATTAATAACTTTTAAACAGCTTTGATTTAATCTTAATCCACGAAAAAGT